GCCGCCGGTCAGGCAGGCCCGCGCTCCTGCAGGCGCCGCGGGGGCGGGCCCCGCGCCCAGCCCTCGCCATGGCAACGCTACACTTCCGGTCCGCGCGGCTCGGAGCCGGAAGCCGCCGTGCCTCTTGGGGTCAGGGAGCGGGGCCGGGTTGTCGGGGGCGGGGCCTGCCCACGGCGCCTTAGTGGACGGCTGCGGAGCCTGCGGCGAGATCCCCTCGGTGGCAGCGACGTCCTCGGGACCTGGGTGGGGCGGGAAGCGAAAGTGGTCAAGAGGCTCCAGGGAGGGTGGTCATCTGTTTATGCCGGACAAAGCAGAGGCATCATGGGCGGTTGGAGGGAACAGCGTATGCAAAGGCACAGTGGGCAGCGGCCCAGGGGATAGTTCGGGGCGGCAGGGGAGAGTGTGGGCGGAGGTGAGCAGTCGGGACACGAGGAGCCTTGAACACCAGACCAAGGAGCCGGGCTTCATCCTGGAAGCAAGGGCCGACCAGTGGAGAGGGGGTGGCTTAAGACTTGTAGGAGAGAACGACGTCTTTGCTGACCGAGTGGGGCCAGGAGGCCGTAGGTATTAGCCTGGTGAGACGCGAGGACGCCTCAGCAGGAGCCCTGGGAACGCAAAGGAGGAGAGGGCCCGAGGGGTGTTGAGGAGGTTAGAGGAGTCTAGCGGAAGCCAGGTGAGGTGTGAAGGGAGAGTCCGAGAGAGTGGGGGCAGGGGCACAACCCAATGAGGGGTGGGGCGGGCAGGAACAGCGTGGCACCCCACACATATCATCCACCCCAGTCCCAGGCTTCCTCTTCCACTGTAAGCTACCCAGGAACAGCTGCATTCTCAGAGTAAAGTGGATAAAGTGTATCCCCAATCCCCTTCGAGTCTGGGGGCTCTTGGTTCTGGTACCAGCACTAACCACCACAGCTGGTGCCTTGGCCCTGATATCCTCTTGGGCGAACTTGCCCAGTGTGGAGGAGGGGAACCTGGGTTTTGGGACAAAGTACAGAGCGCAGGCCTTGACTGACTGGAGGGGCAGAGCCACAGATCAAATGGCCGGGGAGGAGAAGGTGACGGGCCCACCTGGGCTCCCACAGCATGCTCCTGGGAAAATCACTTGTCAACCTTTTCCCTCTTTTGTTCCTAGGGTAAGGGCTTCATGGCCTTTTCCTCTAGGAAGCCCTCCCTAATCAGGTCGTGGGTGAATGTCCAGCCCCTGGAGCCCAGGTCCTATCAGCTGCTTGGTCTTGAACTCCGATGAAACCCCCACCCCTTCTCAGCAGCTTGGCATGGGCAAATCACTCTCCCATCTGTTAAACAGGAGTCTGAGACCTGAGCCAGGCAGACGGGATAAAGTAATCATGGATCCTGGGTGCCTTCAAAGAATTTTTCCTTAGCCCTTCCAGTTCCTTGATGGTGCCCGGGCACCCAAAGGCAGCCCAGTAGAGGGAACTGAGGCCTCAGAAGGTTGCCCCAAGTCTCCACTGGAATCCTCTGCCCCTCCCTTCCAGATTAACCCAAACCTGCTAATTGTGGCAGCTCTCAGCATGCTCCCCTCCCCCACCGCAGTCTTCCTCCCTTCCCTCCCTCCCCTCCCCCTTCCATCCGAATGATAAAGGGCCGGGCCCGCCTGCTCCTGCCCGGCCTCAGACCCCGGCCCTACTTAGCCACACTGTCCCAGCCCTGAGCCTAACACCAGGCCAGGTCCCTGCCCACGCTGTCTGCCTCTCCTGCATGGGACCCTGCAGCGACTCCCGCGTGGGGCCCCCGGAGGCTGAGTTGCCCTCCCAGCCCCCCAAGAGGAGGAAGAAGATATACCTGCGGCATGACAAGCCCCCCTACACCTACTTGGCCATGATCGCCTTGGTGATTCAGGCCGCACCCTCCCGCAGGCTGAAGCTGGCCCAGGTGAGAGGGTTCCCCATTTCCCCTCACACTCCGTGGTGGGACCTTTCCTCAGACCCGTTCCCACCTACTTCCAGGCTCTGGCTCTGGCCTCCACCCCCACTTGGCCCCACCCGGCCCCATCCAGCTATGCCAGAGGGTCCGGTCCCGAGAGCTGAGCAACTTGGGCCCCACACTTCTCTGGGAGCCCTCGAACCCCGTCGTCCTAAGATGCAGAAGTGTTCCCTGGGAGGGCCGAGGCGCCCCTGACTCCAGCTGTGGGGGAGGGGGTGGGCACTGCTCCCTCCTGGCCCCAGCTCACGCGCCTGCTGGCCGCCCCATGGTTTTAGATCATCCGTCAGGTCCAGGCCGTGTTCCCCTTCTTCAGGGACGACTACGAAGGCTGGAAGGACTCCATCCGCCACAACCTCTCCTCTAACCGATGCTTCCGAAAGGTGGGGCGGGGTGGGGGGAGGGCAGGCGCAGAAGCCCTGAGCATCCGGGGTCGGGCGGCCCCACCCACGCCTGCGCCCCACAACAGGTGCCCAAGGACCCAGCGAAGCCCCAGGCCAAAGGCAACTTCTGGGCAGTCGACGTGAGCCTGATCCCGGCGGAGGCGCTGCGGCTGCAGAACACTGCCCTGTGCCGGCGCTGGCAGAACGGGGGTGCGCATAGAGCCTTCGCCAAGGACCTGGGCCCCTACGTGCTGCATGGCCGGCCCTACCGGCCTCCCATTCCCCCGCCACCGCCGCCCAGCGAGGGCTTCAGCATTAAGTCCCTGCTCGGGGACCTGGGGGAGGGGGCACCCTGGCACCAACTGGCGCCACAGAGCAGCTCAGCTTCGGTGGGCACAGGGTGCAGTATGGAGGAGGCCGTGACCACCCCACCCCTGCATGTCTCTGAGAGTCCTCTGTGGCCCATCTACCCGCTCCCTGGGCCCACGAGGGTGGAGAGGGAGACTTCACAGGGGGGAACCATCAGGCCTGCATCCCTCTCCCCAGAGCCCAGGGCCTGGCCCCTCCACTTACTACAGGGTACCCCACATGCTGGGGAATTGCCCAGCAGGGGACACAGGGCCTCACTTTGGGGGCAGCTGCCCACCTCCTACTTGCCCATCTACACCCCCAATGTGGTAATGCCCTTGGCCCCACTACCACCCACTTCCTGTCCCCGGTGCCCACCTTCAACCAGCCCAGCTTACTGGAGGGTGGCCCCTGAGACCCAAGGGCCCCCGGGGCTGCTCTGGGATCTAGACAGTCTTTTCCAGGGAGTTCCACCCAACAAGAGCATCTATGATGTGTGGGTCAGCCACCCTCGGGACCTGGCTGCACCTGCTCCAGGCTGGCTGCTCTCCTGGTACAGCTTGTGAGGCTCTTCGGGCAGGGGCTGATTTTTCCTCCTGCCCCCACTGGCTTGATGGCGAACCAAGGCCAGGACGTGTCTGCAGCACAGTAGTCTTAAAACACAAGGCACCAACTTGCTGAGAGTACACAATGTTTATTGGACAACCCCACAAAGGTCTGTGGCCCAGCTGGGCACAACCCTGGCCCTGGCCAGTCATGCCTCTGCCTCTCCCACACCCAGAGAGGCAAGGCTGGAGGAGCAGGGATCAGCCTGGAGTAGCCCTTCCTGGTTCTATCTTCTCAGGACCACCATCATCCATCCATCACCATCTGTCACCTCCCCTCCCTGGCTCCAGGCTGGGGGAGGAAGAACCTAATAGTGGATCCAGCCTGAAGTCATGCTCTCCCTCAACTGTCTGGGAAGGAGGTAGCATCTTTTGGGTGAAAGGGGTTAGCGAATAAAAACTGGATCCTACATGGTCTTGCTGGTGGTGGGGAAGATAATAATAAAGGAATTTACAACATTTTAATGCCAAGTCCGATTTAGGGGGCAGGGGTGGTGACTTGGGTAACCACTTGGCTGGGGTCTGGCTCCTGCGGCTCTGGGATTCCCTGCTGTGTGCCATGATAACAGCAAATGGTGATAAGAAGGGAGCTGAGGGCCTGTGACTTCATGGGAGGTGGGGGAAGGGGCAATCATTTCTCCAGGCACACTCTTCACTGGCTGGGGAGCGGGGGAGGTAACTCTGGAAGTGTGGGGGACAGTGGGCCCCGAGAGGTCGAAGTTGTGCCCTGGGAGGCGGGATGTAGCGACTTCTCCGCTGCCTCTGCCAGCAGAGGCGCGCATTCCCAGACCCCGTGGGAGGGCCGCGACTCAGGACTACTGGGGCAGGCCCTCTAGGGGCGCAAGGGCCGAGCCGGAGCCGCTGTCGGGGCTGGGGCTTGGAGGGCTGCTGGGGGACGGCGTAGGAGTGCAGGGGGTGCCGCTGAGCGGGGTGTCGGTACTGAGGGATGAGGGCGTCCCGGAGCGCGAGACCCTGCGGCGCCGGGCTGGCCCCAGCTCCACTCGGCCGACCCGTTCGGCGAACTTGAGGGAGCAGACGGTCTCCCCGAGATCCTCCGGTCGCGTGGAGATCTGCGGGTGAGCGGCGCTGGTGGGCGGGCCCCGAGCAGGCGCCGCCTCGCATGCAAACGACCCTCGGGCGGGCCTGTGCCCCGCCCCAGCGCCTGCCCGGCGCCCACCTGCAGCAGCAGCGCAGCCGTAGTGCCGGGGCCGAGAGCCGGCTGCAGCAGGCGCGTGAGCTGCGAGTCGCGGAAAGGCACGTGCGGCCGGTGGGCCCGCAGCGCGGCCATCACGCCTCCTAGCGCCAACAGCGAGCGATTGATAGTCTGGGCCTCGCGCAAACCCCCGGCGCCGTCAGGGTCTCCCCGCTGCGCGCCGACCGCCCCCGCCTTCCATGCGCGCTCGGATCCAGCCAGGTCTACCAGGTGCAGCGTGCCTGCAGGGGCGAGCGAGCCCGACGCAGAGGAAGGTCGGGCCTCGGGTACGCTGAGAACACCGCAAGGCTCAGGCACGGGCCGAGGTACCTGCGGTGTCCGGAGCGCGCGGTGGAGACGCCGCGCGCAGCGTCAATGTGACCAGGGCGTGTGAGCGGGAGCTGTGGGGGTTCATGGCGGTGGCGGCGGTGGCCCGGTTGCTCCTCCCCAGGCTCAGCATCTGGAGTGGGGCGACAGGGTTCGCCAGGTGTAGAACCCTCGCCTCCGGGTAGAAGCACAGGGCGGGGCCTCGGAAGGCTGTGCGTCTGACTGGGCAGCCTTACCTGGTGCAGCGTCTCCAGGTTGGGCACATCCCAGTGGGTGAGACCAGCCACCTGGATTCCCCCCTGGCCTTCTGGGCCCTGCCTCACAGCCAGGCGTTCCAGAGGCCCTGGGGCCAGGAGGTCCCTGATGAGAAAGGAGGGTTTGGTTCAGGGGTTCTCAAGGCAGCAGTAGGGGCCCTGGACAAGGGGCAGAAAGGAGACGCCCATGGTGCCGCTCTGACCTGACAGCCTCGTTGTAAATCTCCACCATGCTGAGGGTAACGCGGTGCTGCCCTCCAACCCCCATCTCCCGGAACAGCGACTGCAGAGCCCTAGGAGCTATGCCTGGGTCCTCAGGTGGGCCCTGAGGAGGGGTGGGGTGCCACATTGGGCTCACATCTAAGCCCCTTTCCCCCCAGGGTGTGGGCTCCATCCCACCTCCATGCTGTAGGTCTTCCCCGTCCCGGTCTGACCGTAGGTGAAGATGCAGACACTGTAGCCGCGGAGGCAGGACAGCACAGCTGGCTCCAGCTCCCTGAAGACCTGGGAACAGGGTAGGTAGGGTTGAGAAGGGTCCTGAGCCCCTCCCATGTTACCTACTCAGGATCTGGCGGGGTGGAGTGCAGTGAAGGGTGGGGTGTGAACAGCTTAATTCCCCTGGGAGGATGGCTCTAGGGGACCATAGAGAAGGGCAGGATGCCCCAACAGATACCCCAGATGCTGGTTCAAATGCGGGGTGCGGTTGAAAGCAAGTTTCTCGTTATCTTTCCTGTCTCTGTTTTTCCTCTGAGGTGGGGACTACAGTGGTGCTCATTGTGAGGATTGGTGGGCAATGTACACAGAGGGCCAGAGCAGCACTGGACACACAAAGGATGAGCCCAGGAAGGGCCCCATGAGTGTGGAGGATGGTGGCCATGACTGTTGGAGCCCAGGTCCCGAAACAGTGCAGAGGCAGATGAGGGGAATGGGACTAGGACATTCATCCTGTTGGCAACTGGACACCTGCAACAGCCGCCATGAGGACAGAATGCAGAATTGCTGGTGTGGTCACTAAGATTTGAGACTGGACAAAGAAGGCACTGGGTGTGATGATAAGTGGAGTGTGGACTGTGGTGCCATTGTAGAAATGGGAACACAGATGAGGAGCAGGTGACAGATACCTTTGGTTCAGACACATTGAGTTGGAGGGCCTGTCCAGAAGGGCTGCCCAGAGGACAGTGAGTGGGGGGGAGGGAGGCCACATGTACAGGCTGTACTTTGGGGTGTGGGATAAACAGAGGAAAACAAGGAGTCAGTGCTAACCCCCCAGCCACCTGCTGGGCACTGCCAGTGCACTGTTCCTGGGAGGCCCACAAGCAACTGAGCCTGAGTCACTGCCATCGCTGTCCCTGCCTGATCCATCTTCTCAGCTATGGAAGTTCTTGCAGCAAAGTTTATGTACACATGGAGATGGCATGTGCGAAGCAAGTCCATGACTGGGGCTTGAGCCCCCGCCTTTCCACTAGTGTCTGGCAGGAAAAGAGAAGCGGGAAGGAGAGTGGGATCTGGAAAGGGCAGCGAGAGCACCGAAGCTGGAATCTCACATGCTCAGCCACACTCACCCCACTGCCTGCCTCGAGGCCACCAAGCTAGGAAGGGTGCCTGCCCTCATAGCTGGGACCCGGGCCCCCAGGAAGGGAAGTAGGCAGCCAGCAAAGCAGGAGAGGATGAGGCCTCAAGCCGTTGCCAGTGGGGTCATGGCACTGAGCCCACTCCTGGAACACGCCAGCCGCGCTCTACTGCCACTTCTACATGAACAGTAAACGTCACCTTTGGTTAATTTTCCTTAGCTTCCTGGTAAAAAATTATCTTTGAAGATGCTGACCTCCCTGTCTAAACCAGAAGATCTGTTTCCCCTAGGCCTGCAGAGCATGGTGGGGGGATGCAGAGAAGGAGAAACCTGTAAGGGAAGGAGGTGCCCAGCCAGGCTGTCAGATCCACCTCCCAGACCCTGCAGCCTTCTTCCCTCCCCTGCTGGAGCCCAGCCACCCTTCCTCCTCCAGGTGGGCAGACACAAAGGGAAGGGGAAGCTGGAGCCTCTTCTGGACTCTGGGGGACTCCAAGGAAGAGACAAGACAGGTGCAAAGGGGGGTTGTCACCTCCTCCTGGCTGGCGTCTGGAGGGAAGACCCAGTCTAGGCGGAAGCGACGCTGGCGCCCTCGATAGCAGGTGGTGATGGTGCCCCTTGGGCCAGGATCCACACTTAGGAAGCTAGAGAGTGTCCCTGGCCTCAACCGACACAACACACGGATATTTCCTGTGATGGAGACCAAGTCAGCCGACAGTCTCCCAGGCCCTGAACCATGGAGAGGTTCCATTTCCTCCAGCCTGCCCTCCCTACCCCCACTCCCCATGCCAGCCATACCCTTGAGCTCCAGCGGCCGCCCCGGGCATCCAGCTGGAGCCCCCTGCTGCCCCTCAGGGAGCTGAGTCCCAGTTCCTCCAGCTGACAGTGCCCCCAGAGCCCAGGATACCTGAGGGAACACAGATGTGAGGAAGGATGTGGAGGTGGCCAGGGAGCTACAGGTGGGCTGGGTGCTGACAGCAACCTGGAGCCACCGTGTGACCACCCGGCTGTGGTGGTCCACAACTCTCAGTGGCTTCAGGTCCCTAGCGGCATCATTCAGTGGGCCCAATAGGAAGCCCAGGAATAAACAACAGGAACATCACATCATCTATCTCTCTGGACTTCTTGGTAATCCTCTGAAGGATCTGCTGTCAATCAAGTTTGCACTGGACAGACATACTCAAAGCTAATATCATACCGAGGATCAGAAAAGCTGTTCTGGATCTAGAACCTACAACTAATCTGTTAACCCAGGCAACTCCCCAGGGTTGGGGAGGAAAAAATAATAGGGTTCCTGGTTTCCTACCCCCCACCCCTGAAAAACAGTGAGCAAGCTGCCCAGACAGGAGGTGCTAGGAGAGGAGTGGGTCCTGACCTGGCCCCGGGCCTCACTTAGCGAACCCTGACAGCTCTGGGTAAAGGTGCTGACCAGTCCTCTGAGGTCCCCGCAGCCCTGACGTAGGCTGGCCATCCGTGCCCGAAGTCCTGGAGAGAAAAGGCTGTTGAAAGGGAAAGTCCAGACTCCAGAGCCTTCCATGTGCTCTCCCCCTCGCCCCACTGGCTCCCAGCCCTTACCTGCCAGCTGCCCGTGCACCTGCTGCAGCTCCCATCTGCAGTTTCGCTCTGTCTCCTGCTGGAGCTGCTGGAGAGCCCTCCGAAGGCCCTGCAGCTGTACCTCCTGCACCCCCAGCTGCCCCGCCCCCACCCGTCACTGAGAAAGAGACACTTACCAGGCTCTGCCTCAGATGCCCCCCTCCCAGTGCTCCAGTCTTCCTTGCCCTGGGACCCCTCATCCCTGGTCTCCGAGCCTACCTGGACTCGCAGGGCTTCTGTGGTGTCCTGGGCCTCCTGCAGCTGGACCTGGAGCTCTACCAGTGCCTCGGCTTCCTCCTATAAGACAGTGGGAGCCAGGTGGGCTACAAAGCCAGAAAGAAACTCAAGGAGGGGCATTCTGTAGTCCCATTTCACAGCAAAGTCAAGACAGGAGCTACGAGCAGAGCCAGCCACAAACCCATACTTCCCAACTCTGTGCAAGATTCCTTTCCCCAGTTCCTCTGCTTTTTTGAGATCAGTCATTCAGAGAAACCACGAACAAGATGTTCTTTCACAGCTACCAGCCTTCCTGATTAGGCTGCCCTGCACGGACCATCCCAGGACCCATCTACGGTCAGGCCCTGCTTCAGCAAGTATGAAGTTCTGAGAAGGCTTGGGCCCTGTTGTCAAATGCCAGGTGTACAGAAGCCCCGGGCTGCTGGGACAGTAGCAGCTGAGAAGCAGGGTACCTGTGGTGCCCTGGCCGGGGCGCTAGGACCCCAGTGCAGCAGCAGATCTCGAGTGAGGCTCAAGCTCTGTTTCAGGGCCTTGTTCTCCAAAGTTAAATGCTGGACCCTTTTCTCTGAGTCTGTTGCCCCCTGGCAAAGAGGAAAGTCATCAGGGATCACCTGCAAGCCCTGCCCCCCACCCCGCACGTCCCCCCAACCCTGCACCCCGCCCCCAACAGCCTCACCACTCCCAGGCGCAGTCTGCCCAGCTCCTCCTCCTGCTGTTCCAGCTGCTGCTTCAGCTCTTCCAGCTGCGGTGGAATGAGGGGCACAGGGTGGAGCTCCTTTTTCCAGTCTCCCAGTCCCCAGTCCAGTCTGACTCCTGCTCTCCTCACCTGTCCAAGGATGAGCTGCTCCAGCCGTTGCCAAGCTCTCTGGTCCTCTTCCAACTGGAGAGGCTGTTGGGCCTGAACCTCGCCCCTTGGTGCCTCACCTGGGGCTGCAGTGGGGTGGGAAGGGCTTTCCTCTTGGGATGCGGATCCTGGCATGAGGGGAGCCCCGTCAGGACTAAAGAGGTCCCTGGCCTGAATCCTCAGAAACAGGGTTGGGTTTGGGACCCTGAACTCCAGGTGCCCAGGTTTTCTTGCTTGTTTGTTTTCGTTTTTTTGGTAGCTAGCTGATTTGGGGATTTAAATCGTTGACCTCAGTGTTATCAACACTGCACTCTGCCAACTGAACTACGCAGCCAGCCCAAGGCCGCCCACGTTCTGGTGGGCTTCGCTCCCCCCACCGAGTCCTCTTCCTGCTTACTACCCCTTACGCACCATCTGGAGCTGGGGGCTGCACCCGTGAGGCTGCCTGAGTGCCCTGGAGCAAGGTCTGCCTCCCTCTGGGGCTCCGAATCCACGCCAGAAGGGCCAGGAGTTGACTGGTCACTGCCAAGAGTGGGGGAACATCCCGGGGCTGCGAAGGAAATAAGAATCGGAACAGAGAAGACCGTGGAGGACGGCCTGGTTGCTAGAGACAGCCTCTGCCTTGCTCACCTTGCCCAGGTCGGGAGGATCCCCGCAACTTTCTTCCGCCCCCAACTGGCCGGAGAGGAACTCAGCGAGGCGCACGAGGGCCTCTTCTAGGGACACTTCGGGGGGACGGCCCTCGGGTCCCCCTTCCGGCCCATCCGTAGACTCGGAGCAAGCTGCGAAGCGAGTGGAGGGAGGGGAGAGGCCTCGGGTCACGTGTGGGAGGCTGGGCCTTCGCTCTCTCCCGGTGAGGTCACGAGCGCGCCTCCCCCTCCCGGACGGCGGGGCTCCCTCACTGCTGCCCGCACCTACCGGCCCGGCCGGTCAGCTCGGTCCACAGTTCCGGCGCGGGCTCGTCGGAACGACGGCGA